GAGACGAATTCAAAACATATATTACATGATATTTTTACTAACATATTACTCGATTTACAGAAGTGGAAATGTGAAGTAAAAGACCGGAATATTACGCGATGGAAGACGGCATACATTTTGAACATGTAATTAAAGTGTATTTTTCTTACATTCTAGTCGCGTGTTTACATTCAGTAATCTCTTTGGAACCAAATAATGGTTACCCTACCAAAGTCAAAAGCTAAGTACTTAACATTTCCACTTCTGTAAATCAAGTAATATGTTAATAAAAATATCATGTAATATATGTTTTGAATTCGTCTCAATGTGCTCTAAAGCTATGAATAAAAAAAAATGTATGTTCCTATTTAAAAAACCCAAGGTGACCTTGACTTTGCCAAGAGAACAAACTGTTTTAAAAATTTGCTTTACTAATATCTATTGTGCACTTCATACCCTGCTAATATTGTCCTAAGCATTTTTTCGTAAGGTGGCTGCAAGTGGGAGAAAAATCGTGAGTAGCGTTACAGGTAACACCCTGTAGATTTAGAATGTACATTTAGGGATGCTAACAAATTTTGAAACCACTATTTATTTTTTTATTTTAAATACTAGTGAAAATAATTTAAATGTTCAATTTAAGTGAGACTGTATGTACAGTCATAAAATCACTTTATTTCATAATAGATTAGTTCAACAAAAACTGCTTCAAGCTACTTATTGGCATGATCCATATCAAGAAGAGGAATACAAAGCAAAGAGCATGTTTATGGCGGACATTAATAATGAACGGTACATTAATGAGGTACGTCATATAAAGTAGAATTCAGAAATCGATATGCTTGTTTCTAACGAAGCTACTTTAACAAAATTAAATAATAGTACTACACGTTGACCTTAGCAAGGTATAAAAATTTCTTCGTCATTATTTCACGCTACATCGATCATTCTTTGACATCGATATCAGGGATTTTGTTCCAAATATAATTTGGTAAGTATAGTGTACAATTAGGGCGAGGGTCGAAATTATTTGAATTATGCAGTTATTACTATGCACTTATATAATTTGCATAATTTAATGTATACAATATTTTTTTAATTATTTTTTAATTTCATGTTAATATAACTTACCTATTATGACAACATGTATTCTTTAAATTGACCTGCAATATTAAAAATTATAAACAAATCCTTATTTCATACATTTTACTTTGAAAGTGTCTATAAATTGAAATAAATGTTCTTCGAAATTTTGTTTGAAAAATTATATGTCTTTTATTAGGGTGGAATATTTTAAATAAACGTCACTGAATTGTAGATAGTAAGATTATATTAGATAATAATTCCATGTTTTTTTATTTTTTTTTCTGAATTTAATTAGAACGTGGCTAACGAAGGCTAGTTTACTTTCTTTCTTTCATAAGAGTACATGTATAATTTTTTATAATAAATTTAGTTGATCCGATAAATGCAATATTATAAAAATTAATCCTTCAAAATTGAAACTTCAAAAAAAGAACTTAGTTATGATAATAATTTCCAAATTAAAATTTTGCAAGTTTAATTCATTTTCATAAAGATAAGAAAAATTGTAATATTTCAAAGTTAATATTTTTGAAACAAATTCGGAACCTTCAATATAATGACTTATCCTCCCCACCCCTACTCCGTTGTAATTTCACGCGCAATACCTCACATTTCATTTAAAACAAAATTTCTGACATCGATCAAAAAGTGATCGATTTGACATGAAATAACCGTGCATGATTTAAAATTTGTGCACGTCTAAATAACACATGCGGGCTTATTCCTCGCTAGTTATTAAATGCAGGGTGAGGCATGTAAAATGTGACAGCTGTATATTATTGAAAATATTTTAGGGAGCACAAGTACTCACATAATTGCATCTTTGTACACGAAAGGTAATGGACATTTCAAGATCACTTTTTTTAAGTGGGACTATACATGCATTTTTGAATACACATTACTATAGTACACATCAAACCAAATGCAACGAGTACTTATTATAAGTTAGACAAGGTCAATCAAGGACGCGGGTAAAAAAAGTAGTTATATCTATTTTTCCAAATTCATCTATTTGTAATATGTATTTATAATTTGTGTTTGTTATAATTTGTCGTAAATTTGTATTTGTTGTTTTTAATGTTTCAAATGCTATAATAGTTTTTTCTGTTAATTGTTCAGCGCTTGTTACATCGTCACTGTACATAATTTCGACACGATTATACACGCAAGCCTTTTTTCGATTGAAAAAATAAAATACGAAGTACTACCAGTGATTTACAACTGCAACGACCACCCGATGTGACCTTCATGCAGCTATTATGTAATTTGTAGTCATTGTTGTTGAACATCGTCGACAATACTTCGTGTCTCGTAAAACTACGCACATATTTTATTTTCTTAATAGAAAATTTTCTAAATAGAAAAGTTCTTAATAGAAAATTTTAATAGAAAAATTATAAATTTTTTTAATAGAAAATAAAATCTATTTTGTAGTATGTAGTTTTCTTTCAATATCATTAATTTTCGTCTAATTCGGAAGTAACAAAACTAAAATAAATTTTTATTGTATTATGTATCTTTTTGAGACGAAGTTTGATGACAAATGATCCATGCAAAATTCTTTTTTTCTTGTTGAATACGGATTTATTGAAGAAATATAGATTTCTGTTTTAAAAAAAGGAAGGACAGTTACATTTCTTCTGTGAAATTATAAAATTTTCACATTTTTTATTTTTCCGAGAAATATGTTATTTTCGAAATATTTAGATGTATTTTTAAATGAATGTAATAATTATATGTTTTCTATGTACTAACAATATCAATACTAACAATAAAAACGTTTTATGCTAACATCTTAGTTACACAAGTTGCTGCTTGTATGTTCTGTACATCTTTGTAAAAAATTTTGCATGTTAAGGACCACATATGTATTTACACTTACAAAAATGTAGAATGTGTAGGATGTATAAAATATCAGCTTCTTTTTGCTAACATTGCAGAACATATTGATATGTCAAATGTGCTATCATTTTGTTTTATTTTGTCCAATGAATATTACTGGTGTATATAATTAATATTTAAATTTTAAATATAATATATATATAATATAGATAGTATATATTTTTTTAATTTTCAGACATATAAAGAAAATCTTCAAAAGTTAAATGCCATGGTATTAATTAAATTTGATAATGACACAATAGTTTGGCCTCGAGAGACAGAATGGTTTGGATTCTATAAACCAGGACAAGCAAAAGAAACTCAGGCTTTAGAAGAGACTGACTTATATCGCAAGGTAGTATTAAGAATTATTAAACATTACAATCTTATAAACCTTAAGAAATATAATGTTAACAGAAAATATGATGTTCTAGAAATAACATTGTTATATAATTACAAATATTTCTATGTTTAAAAAATATATTCTTTTATCCTTTTTTGATCAATTTATTTTTGTGTTCTATTTTGAACTTATGTTGTACGTACAAAATTTGTGTATGTAAAAAATTTATAATCATGAATTATATTTTAATTTTTTCCAACTATATAAGGAGTTAAAAATCTTATAACATATAATCATATTAACAACATTCTTTTAGGATTATTTAGGACTGAAAGCACTTGCAAAGTCAGGAAGACTTCATTTCCTTTCTTCACCTGGAAATCACTTACAATTTACAGAAGATTGGTTTATTGATAATATAATTAAACCATATTTGATGTAATCAACAAATTGTAGGTATTGGATTTGAATAATATATTTTCATATACAATAGTAATAATCTCACTATACTAATGGTTTCAAATTAATTTTATATATTATAATAGATTATTATGATTTTATCATAACAATTAAAGTCTGCATAGTTCTTAGTAATTTCTTCTAATACATATTGAGTGTGTTTATTTATACCCTTCCACTTCATTACCAATGAATTTTATACATGAAATATTCAGTTTTCAAATTATATTTAGAGTTGGTAGATTAAATTTTTAGTTCAAAATAATAAATATAGACAAACTGTAATAGTTGATAGGCTTTTCAAGATTTGCTCTTGAAGAGATTGAGATAATTAATTTAAAAACATTTTACAAAATTCATGCTACATATTCTGTACTTATTACATTATAATATTCTGGAAGGTAAATTGCGGTATAAAAATTATAACTTATTTATTTTAGTATCAATCAAGCCAATTTTCAAGCTATTTCACACATAGCTTTTAACTGTTAACATGTGATGTCGTTAATTTCCTTAGACAAGAACGGTGAATCGTTTGAGATAAGGATAAAAATTATAAATTTTTATTTAATCTATATTTGCATTGTTAACACTTCAAATACTTTTTTAATAAACATCTTAACTTGAAAAACAATAACTCTGTACTTTATAGCTGTATCATATTAAAACGCAGAAACATGTTCGTGATTTACGCTGAGACATTGTAAGTACGTATGCTCGAAAACACGGCAGAAAAATATTATATATGTACTCTTACAATGATAGTACAGTAAAACCATTGTTAAGGAACACTTTTTAAGGGATACGTAAAAACTAATTACGTTATCATTGAGAGTGCTGCAGTTGCTTTTTCTTTGATAATTCTGTAAAAATTTACTGTGTATGTCTATCTTTTACGGTTTAGAACTACGCAGGGGGTCAAGCTTAATTGAGTAATTCCCCGTGCATAGCACCGGCGTTCCACATGTTAGTAATTAAATGATTAAACAAGAAGTTTAATTAGGATATGTACTGTATGAAAATAAAGAAAAATTTATCAACAATCATTGTATATTTATTCTAACCTAACAAACCCAACAGAATAAAAATTTACATATTCGAAAGCGAGAATTTGTATCAAGCGAACATGAGAATTCCTGGAGTTTGACAACACCAAAATTCCAAGAAGCAGCATGATACATAACTCTTCATAACTTATGTTCTCCTGATACAAATCAGCAAAAATCGCGCTCGGGAATTCTTCGAATTTTTCGTCATGAAAAGAAATGGCACGAAAGATACCTCCTCATACCTTATCTTCTCCTGATACAAACTTTCAAAATCGGTCGGTGGAATTTCAAAAATCGCGCCACAGGAGTTCTCGAAAATGACGTCGTGAAAATTCCAAAAAGTGGCACCAAGGATACCTCCTCATACCTTATGTTCGCCTGATACAAACTTTCAAAATCGGTCGGTGGAATTTCAAAAATCGCGCCCGGGAGTTCTTGAAAATCACGTCATGAAAATTCCAAGAAGTGGCACCAAGGATACCTCCTCATATCTTATGTTCACCTGATACGAATTTTCAAAATTGGCCTGTGGAATTTCAAAAATCGCGCCACGGGAATTCTTGAAAATAACGTCAGCAGAATTCAAGCAATAGCATAAAGAATACCTCCTCATAGTGCATGTACTCCTGATTCAAATTCTCAATATATTGTTCTTTATTTTTTATTTTTTAATATTTGGGACAATCTGGGGTTCGGAATGACGGGGTTTATAAATAAGTAAGTATGCAAATATTGTTTCTATTCATATTTATTTTCAAATACTTTTGTACATCAAATGATTTATTGATAGACGGATACATTATTCACACTTAATTCTAGGGCGGAATTATCATAATAATATGTACACATTAGTGTGCGCGCTAAGGCAGGATCTTGTAGAAAGCTAATAAAAATCTGTTAAGAGAATAAAGATAATGTAGCAATTAATTTGCTTTTAAAAAGTTGAAGAAAGCTGTAAGTTATGGAAGAAAATGTGAGGAATACATAAATCGGACGATTGCTTTCTTGGGCTGTATTGAATGTCATTCACATTGGGCTATTTTGACAGGTACTTGCCCAATCTGAACGCCTCCTTATGAAGGTTCCACGCAGCGCTATCTAGCGGCGATACGCGGACCTACAATAGAAACTTCGCTGATGGTATATTACCGTTGAAGCGTAACCAATTAATTACCGACAGAATCCGGTCGGTACTTGACACGTGTTCGTCATAGTTGTGCAGTTTGTTGTTAGATGGCGCTGTTAACGGCATTTATGGCGGTTTTTTTAAAGATTGTTTTCTTTTTTCTTGATGTATTTATTGTTATCAAAGTCGTCGACCAAGAAGAATTCTATTTGTACTTGTGAACAAATGATTAATGTTTAAAACTATCGTCGTTTGATCATACTCAATTTTATTTATTATGTGTTATTCATTCTGTAATCAAACCTTAATTCAAGAACACGTGTTAAAATAAAATTCAGAATCAAGTCCAATAAAATCAGTTATTTTGCAAAGTTATTAATTTATTGATTATTAAAATATAGGAAGACAATTTATATGTAAATAATACATATGGCGTCATCTAGCGGTAGAACACGCGAACTAACGAAAGCCGTATTCCCGCAGAGTGTAGTTCACCCTATCGCCGAACAGATGGCGCCACTTGTTTTCGAAAAATTAAAATTGGTCCCATTTTAAAACTACTGACGTCATCATTACGAGTGGCCAATTTGACTTTTACGAGTTAAGCCTCTCTGTAAAAAATTTACTGCGCATGTCTATCTTTTACGGTTTAGGACTGCGCAGGGGGTTAAGGTTTTCATGAGTGGGCTAAGTCAAATTTATATTTCAACTGATTAATTCTCCGTGCATAGCACGGGGCGTTCCACTAGTTACTATAATAGAAAGTTTTATTTTGTATATTCAATATTATTATCCTTTTGTTATCATATATTTTATGATTTTCTATTTAGAAATTATGATGAAAAGGGGTTCAATAATTAAGTCAAAATGTCAAAATAAATTATTTTTATTGTTATAAAAATTCTCCTTAAATTAAATCTGATTTTTAATTTTTAACAATTGCTCTCTCACTCTTTTCAATACTTTCATATCTGAAAGTGAGATTTCCCCAGTTTCTTCAAAAAATGAAATCACAGAGTCTAAACCTTCCATTGCCATAGCAGGTGATATTTCACTCTCTATATGATGTTCACTCTCTGTATCTGTTATAAGAAAAATAACTACATGTGCTTATTTGATAGTACTAATTTAAAATTTAGAAAAGTATCTTTTTGTAATAAATACAAATATTTAACACAGAGAATATATAGAAATAATTTGTAATTATTTATTTAGCTATTTTCAAATATTAATATCTTTTTAACCAATTGTTTTTATATTAAAAATTATGTAAAATTTTAATTGTTTATCACAAGACTGAAAATTTATATCATTGAACATACCAGTTTCTTCATTGCATGGATTTTCTACAGCTTCAATGATTTCTTCATCTGTAAGGCTAGTTAAGCAATCAGTATGGATCCATTCATTGATTTGATCCAAAGTAATGTCTTCATAACTTCGAATTTTCTTGCACATTTGATGGATATGTTCAGAAGTCACATAATCGGAATTATTGTCTTCATCAACTGGCATATTTAACAACTTTTTCCAGCAGTTTGAGATAGTTTTTTCAGTAATATCATCCCAAGCATCACTGATTAAATCAATTGCATTTTTAATACTGAATGAGTTTATTGCACGATAATAATTAATTCCATCGGCTTGGGCATTTATTAAAAATTTTAGGAATACTGCCTTGTATCTTCGTTTTAGTACTTTAATAATTCCCTGATCAAGAGGTTGGATAAGTGGAGTTACATTTGAAGGAAAAAATATAGCCCTGATACCACCAATACTTAATGTATTCATTGGTGGATATGATTTGTCACTGTCCAATAGTAAAACTGCTTTCACTGGCAATCCTCTTGATTTTAAAAAATTAGTAACCTGAGGCACGAAATCTTCTTTAAACCACCTTTCAAAAATGATGGCACTCATCCAGGCATTTTTGTGATCCGTATATTTGACAGGTAATAACTGTGGTGCTATATTTTTCAATGCCGATGGTCTTTGAGTTTTCCCTATAACTAGTAATGGCATTTTGAATGAACCATTTGCATTACAACACATCATTACAGTTAATTTATCATTAATTCTTTTACAGCTAGGAGTTCCTTGTTCTGTCTTAACAACTAAATTATTACTTGGCATCATTTTAAAATAAAGTTCAGTTTCATCTGCATTAAATACTTGATGTAAAGTTAATTCTTCTTTTTCCATTAAGTTTAATAATTCATTGGTAAACTGATTTGCAGCTTTCGTGTTAGCAGGTGATTGCTCCCCAGGTAGTGCTATAGATCGAATGCCATTCCTTAGTTTCCAAGTTCGATACCATCCATCACTTGCTTTAAATGTTTCTGTATCGCCACCGAATCGTCGAAAAAATTCTTGAGCTTTAACTAGCAAAATTGATTTTATAATTAATTTTAATTAAAAATTTTTTAAATAAATTTCTTTCCTTATTGTTCTGTTTAAAATATCAGGACAATACCTTTCACTTGTATAACAGTGAGTGCATTGTTCCTTCTTCTTTCACCTTGGAACCAAATGGTTAAAGCTTCGTTAACTTTTTCAAGTGGTGATAAACGTATGCGTTTTGCATTCCATGAAAGGCTACGCTTTTCAAATTTTTCCCTTTCACGACTCCATCTCCTCACTGTAGTTTCGCTAGTATTATATTCAATTGCTATTTCAATTATAGGAACACCAGCCTCTTTCTTTTTTACTGCTTCCAACTTTTGCTGCATAGTCAAAGCTATTTTCCGTTTAGTTGCATTCGAATGTGGATTTTGAATACTTGAATTTGCATTTAGACTTGGACTTGAATTTAAACTTGAATTTATACTTGAACTTAAACTTGAACTTAAACTTGGACTTGGGCTAGGAGTGGGATTTAGATTTGTTTTTAACTTCAGATTTGGACTTGGACTTGGACTTGAAGTTGGACTTGGATTTGAATTTGGATTTGGACTTAGACTTGCTTCATTGTATTCTTCTTTCACGTAAATATCTGAATTTAACATAATGATCGTATTCCGTTCTATGCGCTTGATGTTTTAGTAATTATTATACGCTCCGAATGATTAGCTTCAACTACAATGGCAGCCGATTAACTAGCTGCGCCAGCGGTCAGCAACTTTGGATGCGGGCTTTTCCAGGAAGCGGCAATTTATCGAACGGCCAATGGCATACGTGCTCTCCCCGTGCCTTGTTTGTACATCTTCATATGAGTACATGTATAGGGTGAACCATCTATTTTCATTAGTGCAAATAACTGATAGTTCTTATGTATATATCTGATAAACACAAGTTACCATAATAATAAAAAGTAATCTAAAGAAAAATGCATATTTATTGTGTAACGTATAATGCGATGAGTGTAATCAAAAGTATGATAAAAATGCACATAAGTAAGAATACTATAAAGGATGCTGACTAATAATTATTAATAACAATTTTAGCGACATTGTTATATACATTTATTAATCTATGGCATTAATTAATTGTTGAATTAACCAGAGTCGTTAAAAATGTTTTCTTATCATAAACAAGTACTATTGTAACACATCGTATCTTATTTCATTACAGATAGTAAATACATTTTATATATAAACAGCTTATTAATTTTTAACTGTTACCAGTATATCTTTACATATAAATTTAATTTTGTTATACTTTATACTTATTATAATTTTATATGACTTAAATATAAAATTTAATAACCTATAAAGAAACAATATTTTTAAATAAAATAAGAACGTGTGAGTTACAACATAAATGTGACACTGCATATATTCCGTTGATCTTTTTATTGGGTGCGGGTGGGATGCGCGCGCCGTAAGTGAATAATATGTGTGAACGACAGACATTTCTAACTTCTGTTCGTTGGGTGTTATTTATCGGACGGTCGTTGTATGTACTACGTACAGGTAGAAAGATATTCAATAAACGGAACAAATTCCATCGGTTGTACCGTCATAAACCAGTAATGAATGTAGAAATGAGAATATGATCTTCGAAAGACCAACAATTATGTTTAAAATATGACACTAGTGGTCTTTAGATATGTTAAACACGCAATCTGCAGTCCGACATAAACGGTAACCAATATGATTGTTGAGCCTTTGCTAGCACTAAATCCTTTTTTAATAAAAATTATAAATATGTACATGAATTAAATAAACTATACGGCGTGCGGTTTCATCTATTATATTTATTGTGACCCTTGATGGTAAGCGAGTTCATGTTTGCTTTTACTCATTTTTTACCATTTAAAAAACAAAGTTGACCTTCGTATTGTCTGTACGTCTTTAAAAATGTCATTACTGTATTATGCTTCTGTTAACACTGTACAACTTTTGTGACTAGTATCTTTATATCTTTAAGAATAATGAAAGTAAGAAATATGCAAATTACTGGTGTTATCCCGTAATTTTAGAAGTCGTTTGATAAGTAAGTGTCCTATAAGTAACCAATAGCAATACCTTAGTTACACGGATTTCTCATACACGTAAATATTTCCCCACTTTGTTGGATCAAGCAAACGACCGAAATATATCCGGTGCTGCGTTTCATTTGCATACATATAGTGGAAATATTCACATGTTCACGGTAAGTGCGAGTATAAATGTTTATACAAATTTTGTATGATTTTAAATATTTTCTGTAACAATAAATTAAACTTTATAGTGAGTATATGATATTATAAAAATATAAGACAGATATAAAGCATAATAAGTAAAATTTATAAATAATAATATAGAAATGATAAAATACTGAAAACGATCTAAAAATTTGAAATATAGATTGCAGGCGATGTGTATTACTCATTGCATTCTTACATATTTCCATTCTATGAAACATTCTGCATATAAAATATTCGAGTATTATGTTCAACAAATTAATTATTACATATTCTAAATCAAGATGTTTATTAGATGTTCTAAAATAAAAAATGAGTATGATAAATGTTCGACACCTTTAACATCCGATATAATATGATAACGAATTAGAAACATTGCAGTAAAAATTATTAATTATAATTTAAGTTTAAATTTAAATTTTGAATTATGATTGATACCATTAAAATCAAGTTACGTTAAATACGGCAGCTTATCAGTCATATAGCTAAAGAGTATGTTATAATAAATGGTATCAACAAAATAATAATTGTAAAATGATCACAAAAATTCAGAAAAAGTACGTATATGAATGTGTTTGATAACAGAATATTTAACCACATATAAGTGTAATAACCGTTTAATAACTGTTTAGAAGCGTGTATTTTGAAGAAGCGGTTATGTATTGAACGGTCATAACACACTCTTCGCAACTCACTATTTACTTGTGAACATGTATGTATAGGGTAACCAATTAACTGAACTAACTGTTCATACTATGTGAAGCTAACGGGTTGATATTTTATTATATCTTTTTTCGTAACTAATTAACGGAGATACGAAAAATTGTTTTAAATTCAGATAGAAATTCAAATTGGTTAAAAGTTGGAGTATATACTCGAATTGATAATAATTGAAATATTTGTACAGAAAACAATTCAATTTATGAAACGTCAGCATATATGGAAAGCACAGTTAATATAATGTCAACAAAATTAATAAAATCATAAAAAAGATAATTATATCTTTATAACACTTAACATATACAATTTTAACTATAAATCAAAAGTATTATTTCGAATTTAATTGAAAAGCTGAAGGATTATGGGATAATATGAATTACACTCGAATGAAAGTTATTATTTACAATTCCATTATTTTAAATATTTTTTTATTATTTAGGAAATAAGTATGTGTACTTGTTCTAGTTTGTATCTGTTAATTCAACCAGAAAATTATTAATTTTTTTTACTAACTTTTAAATTTGATTGTTATAATCAGCCATCTTAAAGTATGCAAATCTGAGTCTCGAATATATGAACTTAGAATATTACCAATCATAAATAGACATAGGTGATTTAAAAATTTATCTGCTATTGAAGAAAAGCTATATACTTTTATAATGTTAAAATCAAAAAGACATACAGGGTTTAAAATATAATTGATTATTAAATTCTTCAGTTTGTATACATATTTCTGTACATATACATTTTGACAGTAGGATCAGTGATGTAGTTAAGATTTTTCTTGGACGTGTATTAGTAATCTGATGGAGTTAGCATCAAAAACGACATGTAAGAGTAATATAAATTTTTTAATAACAAAGAATTATCATTTTACAATATAATTGTTTATTTTGAAAAAGTATTTGTTTACACTGTTATAATATAAAAGTTATAATCCAATATTTTATGCACTTAACTTAAAAATTGACAGAATATTTTAATTTAGTACATAATTCTACATATTTATATGAATAATTTATTGTACAATAATAACAAAACGATAGTTGCTTATTGGATTTAAATTTAGATAATAGTAACATTTTTTAAACTTATGCTACATTAACACCTATGAAGAATAAGAAAACAATCTTTAACACTACACCTATCAATATTGGATGCACGTTTATTTAAAAATTGAAAATAAAAAAGGAATAAATGAATAGAAAATGAAACACAAATAAACACGTACAATCATTTTTATCTTGATAACAGGCAGTATGCATTTGGATTAAAACACGTTAATAAATTCTGTAATTTAAAATTACGAAATTTAAAGCCAATAAATTATAACTGACTGGCAAATCTAGTGTTAAAGTATTAAAGATTAGTGGTCCATATACCTTTTAAGTTTTATTTTTATTTATAATTTATAATTATAACTTTTAAATAAAGTTCACAAAATATTTTTATAAACTCTGATATATTTTTCGACATTACCTATATCGATCGTTTTTATATGTAAAATGAAATTATAATATGAAAAAATAAAACTGTAAGTATAAATATTGATCCAAAATGTACCCTATTAATTACTGTGTTTAGGGTATGCAGTTAAATCAAGAGTTAATACTTTACTTTCTAAACATTCGTCAACCTGTAATTTAAAAAATGAGTAGCGTAATTGTTGAATACTACTTACATATTTTATATATATACTTACATCTGGACAAATACCAATCAATGCATCAGCATGTGAATAAAATTCCTCTTTCAATGATATGACAATGATCTGTAACGAGTTCGTTTTATCGCGTATATAACTAGCAACTTTTCCAATATTAGTATTATCTAATGCAGCATCTATTTCATCCAAAACAAAGAATGGTGCAGGTTGAAAGCTGTAAACGTTATCAAAATGAATTATAAATTTAATATAATTTAAAAATAATTTATTATGAAGAAAATTATAATTATATATTAAAGTAGATTTTCTGTTTCATTTAATTAAACAAAAACTAAAAAACTAAAAAAAATTGGTTGTATAATCGTAATTACCTATGAATTGCAAATAACAAAGCTAAAGCAGCAACCGTTTTCTCCCCACCAGATAAATTAGACATTGGTTGAAATCGTTTTCCTGGTGCAACACAGTTATAGTTGATACCATCTAAATATGGTTCCTCTGGGTTTTCTGGCCCAAGAAATGCTTGTGCAGATTGATTTTTTGCTAAACTCTATAATAAAAAAAACGACTTTTATATTACTTCCATTTATATGTATATACTATAAGCAGATACATAAAATTTCTGGTATATTATAACTGAACCTTATAAATAGGATCAATTTCATTAGCTACATGTTCAAAACAGGCCATAAATCTGTCATGTCTTTCCTTTTTTATTTTCTCAAACTGTGTTTTTGCTTTTTTCGCTTTTTTACGAGATTGTTCAAATTCTTCGTTAGTTTCTTGCAATTTCTCTTTAGCAAGATATAACTTTTGTATTGCCTAAAATATGATGCGATTATTTTAATAATTATATTCAATATATATGTAATATTTTCTTATTTTATATTATTCATTAATTTATTAATATATTACTAAATTTAATCTTTCCTGGCTAGATATCATAAATTATAATCAAACTATTAAGAGTAACAAGTACAATAAAATGAAACACAGTAAAGATTCGATATATGCGAAAGTTCAGTCCTGAGAGATTCACTTATAACGAATCTTTACTGTAAAAACATTATTAAAAATATTATACTTTCTAAGAACGAAATGTAAATTTAAATATTTATCTCATCAATTATCTTTATAAATATTTTGATATA